ATATTAAATTATATTAAATTTAGTATTATTTAATGCAGTATTTAAAAAATGGAGTTCCACGGTTCAAGTATATTTTAGACATTATATTAAATTTAGTATTATAAAATATAGCATTACATAAATTATAAAATATTACATTTTAAAAATATTATATTTAAATAATAATTATATTTTTTTAATTAAATTTATGTCACATTTACTTAAAATATAACTATAATATTGCATTATTTAAATTATTAAAATTTTAAATTAAATTTACTAGTATTTATATGAATATTTTCGTAACATAATATTTATTTAAATAAAAATTAATACAACCAAAAACTTTAATGTTATATTATTACATTATGTTAAAAATTATTTAGCTGAAAAAATATATTTAATTAATATTTTTCAATTATTTGAACCGTTGTATATTATTACATTATGTTAAAAATTATTTAGCTGAAAAAATATATTTAATTAATATGTTTCAATATATTTGAACCGTTGCATTTAAAGCATTCCCATAGTGTTAAAACCATATGACTTGAGAATAATATCACAATATTAGGCATGAACAATTCTAATTATCTCAACCTAAGTTTAAAAAAAATAATCATTTTATTTAAGTAAGAATGTCTTAACCTGCATATAAATGAAATTAATTGAACCAAGTAAAAGCAATTCAAGTGTGTTTAGCTCATCTTAAAAACTATTAAAATCTAGAACAAAATACTAAGAAAGAAAGCCAATTAAATTGTTTGATATCCTGTATAGGGTCATCCCCAACCAACATCAATCTCTAGAATGTCACGTTTCTTTATGTATTATGATAGCTATCTAAAAATTACGAAGGAATTCATCCCTTCGTACATCGGTGGAAGAAATTGTCCCATTGAAATAAATGAGAATGTTACACTTGAACAATTACATGTTAGAATTCTCCAAGCATTATCCCGTGACAGTGAAACATGTCGGGTTGACTTGTTTGTCGTCTTCCAAATAACAGAGGTTATACAACAATTCAAGTGACGGACGATAAGGTTTATGAGTTCATACTTCATGAAGCTCGAAGGCGTACTTTAATTATTTATATTCAAATTAAGGAAGTCTGTAGACATAACATACATATCAATTCTCGTCATCATATGACTTATCATGACCCAACAGTCGCTTGCAAGGTAGACATGTTCGTATGTACGAAATATGAAGTCTATGTAACTCATATAAACTAATATGTTCGAACTTAAACTTCACCATTACATTTTATTGTGTGCTATAGACCCACTGCAATACCCATTATTATAGATGAAACTCGTCACTTTAGTGTAAGCAAATGTTCACCACACTATGAAGCAATAAGTGTAGGATGCTTAAGTCTGAATGAGCTTCCAACATTGCAAGAACCACATGCCAGGGGGAGTGCAAGTGTTAGTGACTAGACGAAATATTTTATCTCTATTGACAAACTCAGCAGTTTGATTGGGAATATGATGCCAAAGCTGCACCAATTGTTGAAGGGTATGAGACTATGGATAGTAGAACTAGTGTGAGCTCCAGTGAAATGCCCACAGAGGATATATATTCTTTTATGGATGAAACTTGTCGGTTGTCCGCTAAAAATTCATTTATAGACTATATATTGCTAGAACGGATCTGATCCGGCACGCACATTATATTAGGTTGGGCCATCACCATCTAACTGCTCTTGTCGAGCAATAGTGCCCCTCCACGAGCATATTCCATTTTCCTGTAAGGGAGATGACCATCACCCTACAGGATGTGCATATTTTTCTCGAACTTAGGGTGGATGGGGAAGTCATGGTTGGGCCACCTATTATGGGACCTGATCTTCAATGAGAGACTTGGCATAATTATTGTAATGAGCTGGATGCTCAACTTGATCATGAGACAATATACCAACACCACACATATAAGAATGTGCATGCTAATTTTTGTATGGGGCATTTACAGGTTGACTCGATGATGCCACTATGATGGTTTATATGAACCTTCTATAGAGAGTCCTATAATAATTTAGATGCTAATGTATTCATGCAACATATTAGAGCGTACATTTTATACATGATTGGTTGCTTCCTCATGCCAGATTACTCAAGGTAAAATGTATCATTACAGCCCATATCTCTTATGGAAGATTTGATGCAGTTCAATAGGTGCAAACTCATTCAAAGAATTATGTTTGATGATGAAACTCAATAGATTACATATTATTGGATGTCTGCCGCTACTGTAGGTTTGGTCTTGGAAGTGACTGCATGCTGGTAAACCAATACATCGAGTACCTGCTTTCCTCGATATTATTAAAAAACCTCTTGGTTACAGGTATAATTAACATTTATGTTTATATGAATCACATGACATAATGTATTTATTCATATTATTTAAATATCATTTTACATAAATGTGGGTGGAGGACCGTTTGCTCGAGGTCTCATATGGGAACTTATTAACTTATCAGGACGAGCTAAATGGACTGCATCAGAGCCAAGTATATTATCATAGGTGAGAAGCATTGATGCTTTATTATATAAATAACCAATTTAATGAAATGTTGTCTCAACAGCTTATGATGACACCATATAATGATAAACTTATTATCGGTCTTCCTCTTATATGCCAAGAGTTCTTAGAGATATATAGAGCACATGAACCATTGATTAGCTGGAAGCGGGTTGAGTGGCACATGGTTGATTGGGTGATGCGCATGTTTGGCAGTATTTAGTCTATAAATATATGACATATCGAAAGGACCTTCAAGCATGTTAATCAGTGTGGTAGAGCTGATGTTGACTGTTCACGATATTATATGAATCACATCACTCTATGGAATAATAGGAGCAAACTCATAATTCCAATCATTCCACTCGAGGGAAATGGAAGGTATGAGTTACCTGTATAAA